AGGCTTTTGTACTCAAGGCTGTGCTGTATCACTTGAGCCACACTTCTACCTCCAGCATTTTGCTGGAGGAGATAGGAGTCTCACAGATTTTTCTACCTAGGCTGGCTTTGAACCACAATCCTCAGATCTCAGTTTCCTGAGTAGCTAGGATTACAGGATGGAGCCAGCAGTACCTAGCTCAGAGCATTTTTCTAGTTGCTTTGTCCCCAGTTTCTGAAGTCTGGTTAATGATCACAAGCAGAGGCAGGTGAAGTACCAGGAGGAGATCACATAGACACATGGGAATATTTATCCTTTCTTTAGCAGAAGTCAGACTACTCCTCAAACTGTTTACGAATGTAGAACAAAGTTACGTTTCCAAGTGCCTCTTACAGCCTTAGGGCTCCATCGATTCCCAGTGTATAGATAATACAGCAAACAGCACCAGGCAAGTGACTTTTGTTACAGATTTCTGCTAGGGTACTTATATGTCCATTCATGTGGGGGGGGGTAAATGTGTGTATATTTAGATTTGATTATTTATGAATTATCGTATCCACAATCTGAAAAATAAGTTTCTCGTAATTATTTAGTCTCCTGGACAAAGCCTTGGCTTTCACATAGCAGAACTCACAGACTCTGGCTGCTTTTTAATTCAAAATACAGTTCATCATAATCTCTATTGCTATTTCCTTTTTGCACAAACTGCTCTCCTGTGTTGTCGAAATGGTACTAGGAGCCTCAGCAAACAAAATTCAGACTACCCTGCCAGGTACCATGTCTCATGCCAATATCCTACTCAGGAGGCTGAAATCTGAGGATTCTGCCTTGAAGCCAGCTCAGACAGGCAAATCCAAGAGACTCTTATCTCCAGGTACCTAGCAAAAAGCCAGAAGCGGAGGTATGGCTCAGCTGATAGAGTACCAATCTTGAGTGGAAAAAGCTAAGCAAGAGCATGAAGCTCTTCAGGTCTTACGACCAATGCACCCTCTCTATCACGCTAGTTCATTCATGCAACGTGCAAGTGTCCATATGGGGGCAGGGGAGGTAAAATAGAGTACCAGAGCTCTCCAACAAAGACACAATCCATCATTTCTCTAGAAAGAAAGTTAAGACAAATTAAAGAAAAAAAACAGTAAGAAGGGTTTAGCAAGTTACTCTGGCTTTGGTATTTCATAATAAACGAGATTCTTCTTATTCTCAACTACAAATCTTAATGGGAATGGACGTAAGGAAGTGGAAGATTCTTATACTCTTCAAGATCTAACCCTGGAAGGTCAGGAACACGTAGGTTTTGAGTGCTGATTGCCCACACAACTGTCTGGGTCAGCTGTTCTCAATCACAACTGAGAAAATCTCAAGGAAACACTGCAGAGTTCTCTTGAAATCTTAGCACAGAAGAGAGACAGATAGGCCACTTTAGTTCCTGCTTTGACCTGAAACACATGATTGTAAAGCATAACTCCATGCTTCTTAAGTAGGCACAGGGCAGACTACTTCCTTTAAAAAAAAAAAAGTCTCCATGTAACATAAAATTACAGCTTGGACACGTTCCAAAATTGACATGAGGCCACCAGTGGAAAATTCCACTCCAGACCTCATGTGACAGGTCACAGGCAACACACGGGTGCACTCAAAACGCTGCATTAAATCACCTTCCATGCCAGGTGTTGTAATCCTGGCTACTTAGGATGCTGACATTCTGGAGATTGAAACTTGAAGCCAGCCTGGACAGGAAAGTCCTTGAGACTCTTATCACCAATTAATTGCCAAAAAAAAAAAAAAAAAAGCAGGAAGTGGAGCTGTGGCTCCAGTGGTAGAACATTAGCCTTGAGCACAAAATCACAGGACAGCACTTAGGCCCAGAGTTCAAGGCCCAACACTGGCATGTACGTGTGCATGCACACACGTGTGCACACACACACACACACACACACATTCACACACACACAATTCCTTCAGGCATAAAAATCATATATGAAACAAATGAAATTCAATTTTGAATTGAACTCTCCCCAACAGATCTCATTATGTATATACAAATACATATACAAGGATATATTAATATTCTTGATAGCACACGAGCAAAGCAACGTCTTGGTATTAGTCATCTAAATGGGAGGAACTAGTGACCTGGAATATATTCCAAAAATCAAAGCACTCCTGGACCCACGCATTTTGAATAAGCAATTGTCAACCCAAACTAATATTTTGGAAATAATAAATTAAATAATAAATAAAAATAACCAGTTAGGAGGCATTTTAATATTATAGAAAGAATACAAATATATTTTGTATTTAAAAAAGAATGTCACAAGTGCAGTTGATTTTATTAAAATAGATTAGAATAAAACTAACTAAAGTTCTTAAGA